CCCTATCGGTGCCCTCTGCAGGGACATTGGCCCGGTGCCCGTAGAGCGCCCCCTGTTGTTCGGGCACCTCTCTACGCTCCCCAACAATAGAGAATACATCCCCTTCGACGCCACGTAGGACATAGACGTTGGCCATCGCCATGTCCAATGCCGACGCCAAGGAATGGGTCCGGCGCTTCGACGTCGCCATTGTCAAGGGGGCCAGGGGCACAGAGGGGTGTGGGCCCGCGGTGAAGAAAGTATTCACCGTTGTGTATTATGAGAGCGAATTCAAGGCTTGAATTTCGAGCCCCGGCCCCCCTACAACTTGGGGACCCTCCGTTTTGACGCCTTCAACGATGCCCAACTAAATAGGCGCTGGGTGGAAGGGCAGCAAATACGGGGAGAGGTGTTCTCCGACAATGTCATTTGTGACGTTTGGTTGGAGGCCAATGGAGCTAGGAGGGGGTCCATCCACCCCCAGTACAAACGGCGTCTCCAGGCGGAGCTGGAGCGTTGGGATGAAATGTGCTAGATGGGGGGGGGGGCATTTCTGGACCTAGAAACTTGTAATTTCCATTGTGTGTAACAACAGTTGTAATTGCTGTTGCAAGGCCACTTTGCACCCACGACTTGTGGGTCACATAAATTGATTGTGAGGCGGTTGTAGGCGTCCTTGGCCGGCACCAAATTAATTTTTTTTGCACGCAACAATGTGGTTTTCCTGTCCGTTGGGTGACCCAAAAAATGCCCTGTTTGTGTGTAAGTTCGTTGTTGTGGTGTGTTTCTTGCATTTTGCTTGTGCGAAATCCATGTTTTGTTATTTTCCGTGACCCCCTTACCAACATTTTGCACAAAAAAGAGTTCAAGGAATAGCCTGCTGAATTTTGCTCAAGATACCACTATGGGGACCAGTTGTGAAACATTGTATTCGCACTTTCTGCTATAACAGGAATTGTTGCAGGCGTGCCACCAATACTGAGTTGCTCTACGTTGATTGTGCACCCGTCGAATTGTCAAATCTTTACCGCTTCACTTTCTGCATATTTGCCATATCCCAATTCCTTGTGGGTGCCACGACATTTTACAATGTTGATGCGTTGATGAGCTGCACACCCTTTTAAAATAATGAAATGCGTACAACCAAATGACACAGGAATCCGCAATAGCACACCCATTGGAGGAATTCCCCACCATTAGACTAGGCCTGCGGCGGTGCCACCGGCCTGCATTTGTCCCAGCTTCCACTGCAGCCGTGTTATGACTTGGCAAGTAGCGGGAGAACAACAAGTCACTAAAAGGGTATAAAAGAGGTGCGCCATAAATATACATTGCTTGAAGGCTTTGGGTGTGTTGGTGCGTTGAGCATCTAGCATACCCCGGATGGTGGCAGGTTGGAATCCTGGTGGCGGTAATTCGTTGGTCACAATAGACCACCACACACACACTTCACATGCCGTGCCCATCGCTTGGCAGCTGAATGCCCCCAAACCCTATGGCCAAATAAACCCAAACCCCATGGCCACATCCGACCCGACTGTCCGACACACCGAGTCGCATGGCCTACCCATCGCCCCCGCCCATTCGTGACTTGACCCATAGGGCCGGGTGCTCGGCAGTCCCCACTCTGGGATCGCATAGCCATGGATGCACCGGTGCAAACAGAACAACCCTCCCTTCGCTTAAGCTTTGTATGTCACCACTTAAGTTAAGGGAGTTTACTTAACGCCCTTTCGCAAGCCTTTTACTCTCTCCCCCCCCCCTACTAATTATTTTCCTTAAGTTATACACGCATTATGCCTTGGCCTATTTATATATCTTTAAGTAGTTATATTTTCCGATTGTCATATAATTGGCGCTTGTGTTGATCCTGCTCACCCCCTCCCCCACCCCCACCCCCTTACCCCCCGTTGCCATCGTGGTTGCTCCCACCCTTGCAACATTATATCCACACTTAAAGCAAGACGTGCAAACTTTCTTAAATGGGGATGCGTCCCAGTACAACCTTTGTCACTTCACACCCCTAATATTGGAACTACACTAGGGGCTGAACTGGGCCCACTGGCGACAGCCACCTAGCACCCACACTCTCACCCCGGGGGTGGACCGCAGACCTGCCGTCCCCAACCCGTCGGCCTATCAGCGCAGACATGGCCCTCGTCCCCAGGGAGGGAACACCCTCCCAATCACTCCCAGCTACAATAGTCACTACCACACTCCCTCACCCCCGGGGGAGCAGGGGGGCGGGGGGGGTGAGGGGGAGAGGCCAAAGACAGGGGCACCACCGGGGGGGCGCACCGAGGGGAGGGAAGGGGGGGGAGGGGGGACGACGAGGGCCCAGCCCGAGCCCGGCTGGCAAAAGGCGTACAAGGCGGCAGGCGAGAGCACAGGAGGAGAGCAGCGGGGTAGGTGGGTGGGGCACAAACGCTGTGTACCGCTCCGCGTGGGTGTCTTGGCAGTTGGCCACTAGCAAGCACCAACACACTGCCGGGAGTTGTAGTGACGACCCGATATACAATTCACAACTTTGCTTCCATGGTGAGGATCAGGCCGATTTCTTACATTGATTGATTGCGTTGCCCCACTTTCTATGGCGGCCGGTGCGGGCCTTCACTTGCTTTGGGGATCTGCACCCTTATGTCATGCCCCTTTGCGAATGGTTGCCCCCTTTTCGTTTTGTTACGTGTCCAAGCTACTTTATGATATCAAATCCACGTATCTTGACAATAGTCATAGGGTTGGCCCTCTGGCGGGGTCCCGCTTTGTTTCTGACCCCTTCTTGACTAGCGCCCCTATGCTGTCAGCCGTGGTCCGAAGCAGCCTTCCCGTTCTGGCCACGTTCGTACGGCGCATCAAAGTCATTTGGGACAAACAACAAGGGGGCACTTCATGGGGATGGAGAACATGAACTGGGTGGCGTCTAATTCCTGGAATTGAATCCAAAACACTCTTTTCTTTTCTTTTCTGCTCTTTTCGTTTGCCAAAGAGTTCCTGTGCATCGACTTTGGACGAGGCGCAACCGATTTTCTGGAGTGGGACTATTAGAGACAGTTGCGGACACCAATCGCCCTACATCGCATTTCTTGTGAATGGGCCCCGTCTTGGATTGTGCATAGGGACAAACATTTTGGCTGGATGTAATTGGAATTTCACTAGCGCCCCTACCCCCGTTGGCATGATTGGTATGCCCATTACCTCTTTTTTTTCGCCCCTCCCCAAACCCCCCTCCCTCTCATTGCTACCCGTCAACGCCTGAACCTTGCAGTTCCTCTCGACCAGTGGACGGCACGATTGCAGTTGACATGAAGCGTCCGCTTTCGTGCGGAAGTACATCGCCGGTGGCCGAGTCTGAAACGCGCCCACCGAAGCGCTGACCGGCGCCAAATTGCCAGGCTTGACGGTTTGCGGGGACGAGGTGCCAGAAACTGGTGGCCTAGGATTTGCACGTGCTGTACCAGCAGTTGGTCGGACGGTTCTCAACATCGCCAGACACGCATCACCGCTTTCATCTTCTTTCCGAACTGCCCAGTGACGCCCCTGCTGCGGGCACCACTGCGGAGATTGCTGTAGTTTACCCAACCACACGCTCACATACATTAGAGAACTAACATCTGGCAGATAGAGAACAAAAATGAGGATGCGCACTGATTGGTCAAAATTTTTGACGCTCAGAGCACGTGGAGAGACGATCAGTTGATGGACGACCCAGTGTCTCCAGGTGCTGCGAGTGGTTTTGGCTCCTGGTCAGCAGGCACTACCAGATTTCCACCTGTTTTGTTGGCATCACAAAATTTTAGCTCTGCGCTTTTTGCTCTGCATTTTTTCCAGAGCGTTATTTAAGTTTTTACGTTCCTTCGCCGAAGTTTTATTAATTTTCTTCGCAATAATGGCCAAGCGTTATGCTACTATGCGGAAGGGTTGAATGTTTTGCGGTAGAAGCGGCTGGTAGCTCCCAGACCGCCATCCAATTTGTGCTGTGAGCCCTGACTGCTTAGGTCGCTTCAACGAGGTGGGAAGCGCCACGGAAATTGCATGAGATGCCCTTGAAATGTGATTAGCATTCCGACATGCAGCTCTTGAAATGCGTCTGACTTAAGGGTGACCAGCATCGAGTGGGATGCCACTATCACATCAATCTATACAAGTGACGTAGAGAGGAAATAGCAGCCACCAATGAGCCACAGTGCAATAGATCCCTGCCCTACAATCCATCCGCTCCCGCAGTCAATTCCATGAAATGTTGGAGAGCATGGCCAGTGCCCCTGTGAAGGCCACGAATGGTGTATACCATGTGGGATGTATCCCCTTTGGCCAGCGCCACGGTCAAACTGGCCAACAGTCCACAGTCACTGATGCTTCTGATCGCACAATGGAACTGCGGGGAGGTGCGCATGACTGGACCAGATGGCCGCTGTGCAGCGAATCGCAGATTAATGTCTTTCATGCATTCAATGCACGGCGCGCAGCATCGTATTTCAGTAATTGCTTATTGGCATGCAGATATCACATGCCACAAGATGGTGAGGTGGCACCATTCACTTGATTCCAAGACAATGCAGCGAAGTGTATGTCAGACCAGCATTTCACCCTATCCACTCCACAGCATTGTCCCCAATCAGTCAACAAGCCACACATGCACAGATGCCATAGCCGCTAGATCTCATGCCTATGGCGCTTTGACATTGTGGTGCAATCGGCGCTGCAACAGCGCTCCTGAAAACGCAACTTTGCAAGACGGGAGGGTGGGCAGCATGGGGTCGCCTCCAGGAGCAAACTCCAGTTACATCTCTGTCGTGGACATTCAAAAGAATTAGCAACTGCAGCAAGCTGTGGACGATTCGATAAGACCCCAGTCGCCTCTGCACATGTCGCTGTGCACTTACGCTGGTGGACAAGACATTCAAGACCCATGTGCCGCAGTTCCAGTGCTTTGGCACTGAATGGAGAGTAACATTTGCCCAGCACTCAGCACCCAGCGCGTTCCATGCCAACGGCCACGAATGCCTCCCACAGAGATTCCTTCAATACATAGCATTTCCGGGGTATCTGGGGAATGGAATGACGTCCCGGATGTTGCTGATGCCGGTGACAAACATGATGAGCCTCTCGAAGCCCAGACCGAAGCCAGAATGAGGCACAGAACCTGGCAGGAAGCACACACAGCAATACAAACAACAGTTCAGCATAATGTACTAGTCCAGTCCTTCCTCTGTCCCATATTGAATGTCCTCTATTTGAAAGCCAAAATTTGTTACAAGGACAGCCTCAACGTTACATGAGAAGGTTAGAATCAGAAACATTGCGTCTCAAAACTCCCAACTACCAAAATTTACCAATTGAAGTATATAACAGCTCCCACCGCAGACCTCACTTGATTATTGCACATGCGGGAAACGCACACACCAAACATGGGCAGAGTCGATACATCGGGCTTTGCTTAAAGTCAGAAGAGATGGCACCACAAGCAAGGCATGGCAATCTTCGCTCCTGATGCTATGTGGTCTAGCCAAGTTGGATTGCTTGATTCAGCAGCCATTTATCTTCAACAAGTCTGCATCCATGTGAACAGCAAGGATTCCGCATATGGCGTTGAACCCAGCCCAAAGGACGATAACAGCAGTATGATGAAACTATGCAGCACTCATGTTTACGGCTGCCCATGCTCAGCAGGTAGCACCAATACACATCGGCAACAGCAGCACTACGGATTCACTTTCGCTGTCCCCATCCAGGCCTTACCATATTTTCTGATGTCTAGGTAGCCCTCATACGGTGCTGGATCCATGCCCAACTGCTCCATTCGAGCCTTCAGAACCTGGCACCAGCACAACGGCCTGTGTTAGGGCATCCCCTCCTCTTGGGCTGGCAGCCGTTTTTGATGCCCAATGCTCACGAAATAACCTCCAATATCATTTGGCCAATAGCAATCGCTGTACTGCTGGGATCGCTCAAGCTTTGCTGTGCAGAAGCCGGACTTCAAAATACGCCTTAAGGGTGCTTCTGTTCACAGTGCAGCTTGAAGATTCAAGGCCAGAAGGCAAAGAACATTTGTTGGGCCTTTCAATCGTGTGGGCTTCGTCTGGGCTCGTTTGTGGACATCACATGGTTGCCGATAGTACGGATTCCAAGGGTCCCCCAGCTGGCTGCAAGTGGATAATTTCCTCCATGCATGCTCTTTACACAGCTGCTACATTGCACACTGCTAGGCTGGAACAATTGCCTGCCATGCGGTAGCGATTACCAGGGTTTTGCAGCCTTTTCAGGCATGTGCTGCAGCGAACTGCAATTGAGGTAGTTGTGTTAACACGAACTCCCAATATCAACAGCTGCGCACATGCCTCAAAGCTTTCAAATGGCCGTCCCAAGGGCCAATCTTCAAACAATCTAAAATTGAAGTCCCACCCTCACCTCATAGACATCTTCGCGCTGCGAGCCACCGATGAGCTCTCCAACCTTTGGCACTAACACATCCATGGCCCGGACTGTCTTGTCATCTGGGTTGAGTTTCATGTAGAAGGCCTTTATGTCTTTTGGGTAGTCATACACAGTGACAGGTTGTTGGAAAACTTCCTCAGCAATGTAACGTTCATGTTCGCTTGCCAGATCAACGCCCCATTCGACCTAGAAACAAGCACACAAAGGCAGTCTGGCCAATGATGGGGCTCTGATGGATGCACCGACACCTTTCTCTAAAGACCTGGCTTCAAGAACCACATACAACATCACTGTTGATGCATAGTTCTGGGCCACACACAGAACAGCAGGGAGGGCTCACTGTTCATAAAAGCACCAAGCTCTCAGAATGCATTGTAGTACATACAGTGCATGCTATACAATGGACAGCACTCATGATAATGCACATAGACAACATATGACAATTATCTCCTGTCGAGTTCACTAGGAGCCGCAGGCATTTGATCTTCCTTTTCTTCTCGTTTGCTGATAAGATTCAGGGCACTATAAGAGACTGACTGGTCCCAACCTTCTCCACAAACTTCTTCTTCTTGGACTTCACTGCCTCCTGCAGGATCTCGATTGCCTCTGTGTACGACAGCCTCTTGAACTCCTGTCTAGACACTCGCTCCACCCTCTCAATCGCGCCCTTGTCTATGAGCTTGTTAATGAAGGCCATGTCCTGCTTGCAGTGTTCCAGCACGTGGCGGCAGCAGAACTGCACATAGTCCTCGGCACACTTCATGCAGTCCGTCAGGTCGCAGAAGGCGATCTCTGGTTCGATCATCCAAAACTCGGCCAGGTGCCTGGATGTGTTGGAGTCTTCCGCCCTGAAGGTGGGGCCGAAGGTGTAGATGCTTGTCAGCCCGCACGCGTAGTATTCGCCCTGGTTCATGAAGCCGTTAGACAGATCACAATACCAATCTCCTCAGAATGCGTTAGATAGATTATTGCAAGCAGTTTTCGAATAAGTTGCTCTCCTGGTACCATGCAGAATTTTTGGTCTGTGGACAGGTATATAGGCGTCCCGCGCATTCCCTAAACCTCAAACCTACGCTCTCGGGACGCACACATGGCGTCTCACGCCCCTCTATACTGGTGCAAAGTGTGGGTGGATTGTTTATCTCTGCTCAAAATCAGACACAATGCATACCACCTATACTTGACTGGCTTTGGGACGCTGTACTGACAGCAATCTGACAGTTGGCAAACATACAATGCCACGCTGAGCAGTTTTAGTAGCATACCAGATTAGGGTCCATGAAGGGAAGGGTGCACCCAGCAAGGTCCAGTACTTCAATCTTGACATGCGCAGCACAATCGAAAGAAAAATATGACAAAGGGGCAGTGAGACTGCCAAACCGGCAGTTGTGCACACCCAGTGCACACAGCAAGGGCTAGCCTTCTGTCTGCCACACCTGCAGTTGGCCAGAAACTGTGAGGAATGCTGGCTTGGAGAAAAAGTCCTCGCTGTAGTCCACTCTGCCATCAGCAAGACGTGCAAGTCCACCCACATAACGGGCCCTGGGATGAGAAAAGCAGAGAAGCATACATCGTGGCAATCTTTGATCTGGACGGTCTTCAAAATGGTATAGTAGTGCAGCCTTCAGGACAGTGCAGAGGCAATTTGCTTCCTACAATCTTGGCCGGAAGGTTGCGATCGTCTTTTATTGAAAATTCTAGGAACACAACCTCTGACAGTAGTTTTGCCCTCCACAGCCTTGTAGGATGGTTGGGCATGCCTTCTCACAATGGACAAAGGTAGCCAAGCAGCGTTCAATAGCTGACAGGAACCTTGTCTACAATGTGCTCGTGGAGATTTGAGCTTGAGCTCGATGAGCTTGACCACTTGCCATGTTGCTGTTGAGCTGTACACAGTAGAGTATAGAATGTGTGCGCTGCATAACTTGACACTAGAATGGTCAATGAGACATGTGACAAGTGAATCTAGCTGTTGTCGATATACTGATGAGATGCAGTGAATTTTGCACAATGGGGGGTTGGTATGCAAGACAAACATTTCCTGTGGGTTTTCAGTTAGCTGCATATGGGGCACTCTTCCCAGATGCATGCGATGTTTGTTGTGTTCACAGTACCACATGCGCTGTCACCATTGTAGTTGAACCGTCAAGTACCTAGATTGTTGATTAATTCAATCATCATGGGGCTGCAGCCAACTCAACTTGAGCTGCACAACAAACATCTTGAATGCCGTATACACAGGCCGATTCGCAGCCTTGCATCTCCACACCTCTTTGTCACCTCTTGTTGTTCCTTCTTAAGTGCCAACAGCTTTGCCACCTCAGCATCTGCAGTTGATTTCAGCTCTTTGTTCCCCTTGTCCCCTGCAGCAGCCTAGCGAACACAACGATCAACACAGCAAAGAACAGAATGCCAAGAGTGGAGATGTTAAACGCCGCCCATCAGGCCACACCAAACAGATTGGATGACAGACAATCTGCTTGACTACATTTGACTACAAAGGACAAGCCTTGCTATTCCATTTCATAGACGTTCATAGACACACTGCCATCAATGCCGCTTGTTCCCCAATGCCGGCCTGAACTGACTGTCACTATCCACAATGGTTAAAAACGAACCAAGGCACATACAACATGGCTGTTGTCTCTCCTCGCTGGAGATTTCAAACACTGCTCTGGTTCACTAGCCAAGGAACGTGGCAACAGGCTGCCAGCTGTGAATGAGACAGGGACCCTTGGCAGGCTCAACCCAAAGACATAGGTCATATGCTGCTGAACATCACGGTTGTCACTCCATTTTTGAAGCACAAGTGATCAAAGCGAATTTTCTGCACTTCAAAAAATGCCCAAAAAGATGTCTGCACAGTTCATGCTTGCCCTTACCGCCTTGGCCTCTTTCACGACAGCGCCCTGTTTCTCTACCTCCACTGCCAGGTGCTCCACATCCTCAGCCGACACTGTTGGCCTCTTAGACTCCTCATCAACTTTGCTGAGCAGAGTGGTCACCTGTGCACCACAACATTCCACGACATCACTAGCCAGAACAACAAGGCAGGCCAGCCCGAACTTCTACATTGCTTCTGAGCATTGTTTCTTTGACAAGTGGCCAGTGAATTTGCTGGTGGTGGGGTCAAAGTGTTCGAGGTCTGCGAGAAGTAAAAGCATCGTGATCGGCACTCTGGTTCTACACATGTTGGACAAACCAGTGCAGGTTGAGGAAGGGTTTCCTTGCAGTTATCATAAATGCATTGGTTGCATGTCCACAATTGACAACTGCTCCCCTCTTGCAACGGTCAATGTTGGGACTTGTGTGCACATCCAGCATCTTTTTAATGAAAATGCTTTCGGTCCCATCGTCTGCCCCGCAGCCCTGAGTACTACTGATATCTCTTGCAGACACCAAAGCACAATACAATAAAATGAGGCGATACAATTATTTCTTTGGGGACGACAAAAGCGACAGAACTCTTTAGCACCAAACACATTTGGTATTCACGCACCCCACATAGCAACAGCTACGACCATCTTGTTTAGAGGGTCATGCACATGCACTGCAGTTTCATTCACAGTCAATTGTGACAGGCAACAATCCCAGCACATCATGGCATCCAGATGGCATTCGGGTTCAATTCCCATACCAAAAAGCCCTCCAAATATTGCTTAATTGTTGTACCTGTAGCTCAGCTTGTTGTGTGTGTTTTCTTGTCCAATCAATGCTACAGATGACGTTGCGCAAGCATTTGTCCTACACATGGGCATGGGCTTGTATGCATTGGGACCCCTCTGTGAGGAGAACAGGGTTACAAATGCCACAAGCCATCCCTGCTGCAGGCTGCATACCTGGAACATCTCCCCTGCACCTTCACAATCACTCGTTGTAACGAGTGGCGAGTGCATGTACAGGAAACCGTGCTCTTGGAAGAAAAGATGTGTGGCACGTGCCAGGGCGTTGCGAATCCGGGCAACAGCACCGATGGTGTTGGTCCGAGCCCGCAGGTGCATCTTCTCACGCAGGAACTCCATCGTCTGGCGTTTCTTGGCCATGGGATACGTTGCAGGGTCACATTTGCCCACATGGAGGACTTTCTGGCCTTTCACCTCCACAGCCTGCTCCAACCCAAAGCCAACTGTTTAGCTGAAATTGACACGGCTGGGTGCACTGCTCCAGATGGTACTTATGGCAACAAGTCAGTTCCCTGTCCTCAGCACAAAAGCATCTGCCAGTTCTTCTCTGGTTCTGAATCACTGAACGTAAGCAGCTGTGTAGTGTGGGGAAGGATGCACTTGTCATGTAAAGTGTCTGCAGAATTCAGGTCACTAGGTACCATCAGCTTTCCCAGTGGTCTGCAATGACCAGCCGATACTTGGAGGAGAAGTACACATGCGTATCCCCGCCTATCCCCGCGTAATGAAAGCACACAAGTGTACACATCACCCCCTGCCTGTAAATGATGACAAGCACACTACTGAAAATAGCTGAATGGCTTGCAAACATCAGACAGGCATGAAGGAATGAGCTGCTCGCATTTCTGCCACAATGACCCACCCTCCATATGCTGATAAAGCTGCAGCACAAAACAACGTTCTTGCAAATATTCCGATGGGAAAGCACACTGGCACCGCAAACTGTGGCCAAGCTACTCGGTACATAATTGCTGTGTGCATCAACACACTGTGTCCCCAGCACCCGATCGCAATGGGAAGTAGGTGCAGTTGTGCCACACCTGCATTGTTCCTTCCGGGGTTTCTGACAGGAGACCCTCAATGAGAACGCACGTCCCCGTGGGGGTCAGCTGCCGCAACCCACCCACCTCTGCTGCAACCTCTTGGTTGACTATAACCTGCAAGGAGGGTAAAGTTCAATCAAAACCACACACCTCACTCTCCAGAATGGCAATCCAGACCACAAAAACGATGGGGACATGGCTCACAGGCACAGCCGACACACACACACAGGCAACAGGCACATGTGCCTGTTGTGTACTTTCTACAAGAATATGCTCTACAACCCACTCTGCTCTTTGGTTTTCAATAGATATAACAGCTTCGAGGCAAAAGTCTCGGACAGTACAATCGTCCTGGATTGCATCCTGACATGTTCTGAACGATGAAGGCACAAACCATCTTTGCATCAAGCCCAGATACATTTGCACCTCCTTGCATTGTCTGCCTTTGGTGTTTAATCGAGGTGGGACCCAGCAAGAGCAAGGAAGAGCATATGTTCCAATGCCTACCCTTGCAACACCCACAAGGTGAATTGACAGTGACCTGCCACAGGTTGACATATGCAATCAGACTTTCCGATGCCTCTTGCCACCTCACAAGACACTGCACTTCCCTCTCTGAGTGGCACCATGCAGCCAGCGTCAATTCCAAGAAGTCCCAGGAGCAGCTCTTCCCACCACACTCTCACACACTCACATTCCTTGGGATCATGCCAGAGCAGGCTTTGGGGTTTCTGCATTCTTGTTCTTCTATGTTTACATATTGCCCTTGCCTAATAAGCTGTGGGGCGATGTTGTTTATTTTATCTTTGACAGTCCTACATGCTGGGGACAGTTCTACCCGTTTTGATTGTCAATGGACGACATGGTGCATTCATATACTGGTGAGATGCGCAACAGTGATTATTTGATTCTTGTGGACACCCCCGGAAGTACATATTTGTTGCTAGGGAGCACGCATCCTGCAGCCGATTTCATTCTTGTCAATGGTGGCACCTAGAGCGCTACACAGCGTAAGGCCCCGCTGTGTGCCTGTTGATGAGGGGCGCTCCATCGCATTTTGTGCATCTTGTAGTTCAAAACACATCCACACATCCACACACATACACACAGAGCACGCCCCACCTGCAGGTTGTTGAAGCATGAGCCGTCGTTGACCTCCAGGAAGCACCAGGCCCCAGCACCGGCGTCCCTGCCCGTCTTCACCCATCCGCCGATGCGAACAAGCTTCCCAACCTCGTCACAGCCCCAACAAAAAACTCAAGTCCCGCGTGCAAACAGCCTCCCACACCGTCGCTAAAAGCGCGCACCTCAATCAAACGCCCCTGCGCCTCCCCGAGCCAAAGGCGGGGACAACTGCGCAACGCAAGGGCTGATCCGTCCGTCATAGCCATCCACATTCATCCGCCTCTCCTTGCTATTGCTCTCGCATTGAGTCCGCGCAAAAACAAAAACACACCAAAACATGCTGCGACTCTGTGCAGGGCTCGATGAACTGCAAGCATATCCACAACCGGAAACGCATCCCTTGGCAGAGGCCAGTGCTGCCCATTTGTCAAACCACAACTGGCCGTGCGCCCAAGGACTCGGCCCAAAATGCCACGAGGAACTGGCGTGCGATCTCACCATGCTCTTCCCACCGTCCTCCGCACAGAGTATCGTCGAAATGTTCGTTCGGCCGTAGCTCCGAGAGTAAGGGGCAACCGTGCCTTCCGCCAAGTCCTGCGGGGCATCACCCCCATCGGCTTCTGCTGCCACCTGCCACAAACGGCGGAGGGTGAACGGACATGCCTCGACTCAGCGACACCGACTTCCGCGAGATCAGACAGCAGAAAGTCGGATTGAGTCCGAAGCGCGTCGCTCAGAGGCGTCCCCCGCCCCACCCGCCGTGGACAGGATTGCCTTGCCATGTCTGGGCGTTCAGCCCAACGGTGGGCAGACATGATTTGGCAGCGCCGTTTGCGGGGCCCACTTGCCTGCATTTGGTCCAGTGCTTCTGCGGCGGCTGACACGTCGCCCTCGGCCACACCGCGCTTGCTCATGGCCACCCAACGAGGAGGGGTGGCGATTGGCGCGCGCTGGAGCCGCACTGAGCTGTGGGTTGCAGGGTGCACGGCAGAAATGGTTTGTACGCCCGGACTGGGAATGGGAACTGAATCTGCAGGTAGTGACCCGGAAGTTGTCGAATATTGCCCAGAAGTTTGCGATGATGCCAAAATAGGCACAAGAGCAGTTGTGGTGGGGATGGAGCATCCTTTGGGGGACTCGTGGCCAGAAGGCAATTTGTCCTTGGACTTGACGGCCAGTTGTCAGTGCTTTTGTGTCATGTTGTCATCTTTGCTTCATAGCACTTCCCAAGTTTTCAATGAGAGTAATAGCGTGTTCGCGCAGCTGCATAATGACCAGCGTTTCACTGGGTGGATCACTTATGACTCAGCTGGCGAGGGACTCACATCTGGCGCGTATTCTGGCTGTGTGGGATGGCCTGAGTATGCCACCACCGACTAACCACACACACACACACACACACACACACCCGGAACAAAAATTGGCCAAGTGCTTGCGGCTTTAGTAGTACAGCAAGCTGATCGTGAGAACTGAGAGGAATTAATGCCTCAAGAGAGCTTGGTGACGACTGAATGAAACCCTGCATCAAGAGTATTCCATAAAAGCTACCTCACCAGTGTCGACCGCGGCTCTCAATTTCTGGTGGGGATGTGCATTCTGAATAAGGATACTGCCAAGTTTGGGGCGTGTGTCCATCCTCAAAGCCAGTCGTTCTCGGCTAAGAGGTTTCTGGCCTGAAAAAGGCTATAAGGAACCATGCACAACCGAAAGCTTGGGCCCACACCTGATGGCTCTTTCCAGGGTGGGCTACCCCATGCCAAGGCTGCATGTGTTCAGTCTATTCATCAGTCGCCCACAGCTGAAATATTGCTGTGGAGAAAGCATACGTGCTGGCTGTGGTGCTGGTCATTTCATCACATCATTATTATCTAGATTTGTTCCCATCTGCTGATGTCTCTTTCCAACGATGGGTAGGGTCTGATTTAACGGCCATAGAATTGTGTTTTGGGCCGTGTCGGTGTTACACTTTCGTCCTTGGTGGGCATAGCAGTTGGTCAGGCGTTTGGAACCCAAGAAACATGCTGGGAGGTATCTTGCCTCAGCATGGGGTTGTGTTGGTGTGTTACCCGACCTGCCCATTCTTCGGTGGTCTTAGATGCTGAGCTTATCATGACGCTTTGGAATGTCACTGAACAAGTGACAAGAGTTGAGAAATGCAGGAAGGAAAAGGGAAAACTCCTGAACAAGGTAATAGTAATAGTCAAAGCATCCATGATTGGCTTGGGCGTACATGAGATTGTACTCCGTTGGCTGATGTCTCTTTCCAGCCATGGTGTCGCCCAAATGTGCGTTTGTTGGGTTGTTGCCCCAGCCGCTGATTTTACAGGCATGCGCCTTAAGGAACATGCCGGGATGTCTCTTTCCCCGGCATGGCACTGAGTTGATGTTTCTTTCCAGCTCGTGCATATTTTTTGTGTCTCTAACCTGATGCAAGTTGTGTTTGCCACTGAAAAAGTGGCTGGAATCTGCTTGCCATTGTGAAAGTGGTTCTGTCATTGGTGCAAGCAATGCAGCATTGGCCGGGGTTTACCACTAAAAAAAGTGGGTGCATCTGGCTGCCACTGAAAAAGTGGTGCTGCTCCTGAAAAAGGAGCTGCGAGATTGTGCCACAATCATTGTGGGTGGCTGTAGGGTTAGTTTTTGAAGAAGAAACTAAAGTCGATGATCTGTTTGAGAGACAACATGCTGAAAGAACATGCTTGACACTTGACTACAATGAATGCCTGACTGATCTCTGAAAAAGGAATATGTACAATCACCCAACAGCTCTTGGAAAAGAAGTTGTGAGATTGTGAGGTGTTGTAGGATCAGTTACGGGAGAAGAAATTGTATTCCTTGAATGGATTTTAGGGTTGGTTTGAGGCAAGACATGTTGCAAAAGCATGAATTACGTTTGTTTGGAAATGGCGCATGCTTGGTCCCTAAAAAAGGGATTTGCGCATCACCAAACAACTCCTAAAAAAGGAGTTGTTTCGTCTCATCAAGGGGTGTACTTTGGACAGTACTGAAAAAGTGTTGTAATTTAGAGAATGATTGTATTTTGTTTCCGTGGGTAGTACATAGTGTGTTCGGTGACCTTGGATGGCTATTCTAGCCATGGCTCTCCGTCCCTCTGCCACCGCATGGGCAGCAGTTTGGTAGAAGCCTTTCGAGGAGTGGGGTCCCCGCGAGTGGCTCCCACTCTCGGGGGCCTATCAGTGCCCTGCCCTATGCAGAGTTGAGAGTACACTGCCGGTCACCCGGGGGGGGTCGGCCATACTAGGAGATTGTCGTATGGTTCCTGACCCCCTTGGGTGTGCCGGAGCGCGGTATGGCGGGCCGGGGAATGGCCAGTCGGATAGCCCAGGCGCCGGAGGGAGGCATAGCCCTGCGGACATGCCGAGGCCCCCACCACCACCACCACTTGAGGGTGGCGCGTAGGCCCGGAGGAGAGCGTGGCGTGTGGCAAAGAGGGCCGTGTGTGAGGCGAGAATGGCGGTAATTGCTGCGCTGCGCCATCCATGTGGCATGGGCGGCGGGGGCGCGGCGGAGCTGGAGGCCGCTACATAAGGTTGCACAGGAGGCGATGCACAGCCTGGAGGCCGCGCTCGTGAGGTGCAGCGGCGGGGCGCCTCGGCCGCCCATGGACAACGCCTTCCTCCACATGATGGTGCCGCCGGAGAGGGCCAGGGTGGGGTATTCGGGGGTGCCAGCATAGGATGGCGCCGCGGTGAGCGGCGCGTTGGATGCGCGGGACGAGGCGGAGTGCGGTGCACTAGGCTCGGCGGGTGAGGACGAGTTGCTAGTGGACGCGCGTTGGTGTGGCAGGCGGTGATGAGTTTTGGGGCGATAGCGAGGAGGCCGGCAGGGTCGGAGAGGATGCTGAGGCCAATGCGGTCAATGCAAGTTGGTCGGAGGTGGAGGGCCCTTCCATGAAGGAGAAGCCCAACGAGTTCTGAGCCGGCGCGACGGCCGGCGAGCGGGCGGCACCGTGACAGAGGCGGCGGGAGCTTGCACGGAGTCCCCGGCGCGGAAGGGGGGGGGGGGCATGAAAGCCCTATTGGCTGTGAAGTGACCACTGTTGAGCTTAAGCGTGCAAATTGTATGTGAGCGACAGAAGCGGTGTCCGACCCCTGGCAGTGCTGTTTTTCTTTTCTTGCTTGTGGCTGGTTGGTGAACAGATCAGGCTGGGATCTGTAGCCATCTGTTTTGTGACTTTGTGAATCTTGACCACTACTTTGTTTTTTGGTGTTATTTCTGTTGTGAATGGTCTTCTGGTGAGGGAACTGGCCAGGATTTCCACTAAATGTGAACGGCTGGCTGTCTTGGACCCCCATATGTCTTTGAGAATTATCGCATGAGACCAAAGCAGATTGGTAACCTTTGGCACAGTTTTTTTTACTATCATTGGTTGTGGTATGCAGCCCGAGTGAATTGTGTTTGACCTCTGTCTGGTAGTATTAATACTGTCCTAGTAGTGAAAGCAGTATAAAAACAATAGTATTTTGTCACAGAACATTTTCGTTCATCTCTGCCAGCTGACTAGGCCATTAAGCAAAATGGCCAGGCAGCGCTATCAAGAGCACATTTCAATCATTGCTATTTAATTCAAAAGACATCTCATGTCATAGGAGTAGACCTGCATAGTTTGGCAAAGCTGCAGTGCGCAGGACACAGTACTTGGAGCTTACAATACAAGAGAACCCCACACTTCCAGGTTCGGTGCACATTCCCGCCATTGGCGGCACCATACGTGGGTCACAGGCTGGTTGAAAACCATGCTTGGCCATCAGACTGACCCACGCTAACGCCAGAGACGTTACCGGGATCCAATCCAGCCAGTCAGTTGGAAGGATCCTGGCAAGGGTTGCCAA